TCTTGTATCTCTCTGTAGTTTATCGCTTTAGAGTCCTTTATTCAGTCTTTTTATAAAATCCCATTATTTAAAAATTGAGGGCAGAGCGATGGCATGTAAGGAGCTTTATATATGAGCCCGATGCTCAGTGATAACCCTTTCTCCTCTACTACTCAACAAACTCTACTTTATTGAAAAACACGGGCAAACCTACAGAAAGTATTGAAATGTGAGTCATAATCCACGGTTCACTTCTAATACTTGCCAGATTCTTATCATAATTTTTACATAGGAAAAACTAAATTCAGAAAGTGGGAAAACATTCTGAAGGTGGGGTGGGGATATTTCTATTAAATCAGGCTCAGAATTTTTTTTTCAGTTGATTTCACTTATAAAGTGGTTACAATATCCCCAAACAAGAAAAAATAGATGGACAGATATATGATTAAAAAGACAGAGTCAAATATCACTTGTAGAATCAAGGTTTTCACTGTTTGGCTCTTTCATGGTTTTACTGTGTTGGAAATTTTTCATAACAAATCATTCAAAACACAAAATATTCAAATATTGCTCTGGATCCGTTAGTGAAGAGGGAATGGACATTTGTTTGTTTCATCCAATGATTATTTCATTTCCAAGTTTAAATAATCTGGCAGCATGTTTGCTGAGGAAATTCCATACTTCCATCTGAATATGAGGAAACATGAATTTGGAGGAAAAATCTATAAATTAAATTACAGTATGTAAAAAAAACCCCACAATTGGTAGCAAGAAAGTAGCAATGGGAACTGTGTTTTTGCAAAAGGTTCAGGAAGAAACCAAAGTATAAAAAGTGCCTGTTCTTCATTCCATAGAATTAAATTAAATTAAACTGACAAACCATAAAACTAATACTGAAAATAAAATTTGAGAGTAGCAATTGTTGACTTAGTTTTTATTTTTAATTTTTAATTTTTTTTTTTTTTACAAAAACATTTCCAATTCCCAGCCATCCAGACACCAAAAAGTGGGAACTAACTTACTTCTGGGGATGAGGACTCTGTTGTGTTAGGCTTCTCTGGCTTAGCCATGGTGTTCTGGGATTTGGATATAGTTTTGATGTCTCTGCCTCCTCCCCTCCTTCTGCAGGGAAAGAGGACGAGGACGAGAGCAGAAGTATCAGATGGCCTGTAGGCGCCCATCTATGTAGTAGCACAAATACCAGCTGAATGTATTTTTGATCAGGTACAAAGAAACAAATGGCTGTTGGTTTTTCCAAATGTTGTTTACCCTCCTGATATTCTTCCCAACTCCCATCATGTATAAATATGTATGGTATTTATTTTAGTGTGCAGCTGAGAACAAACGAAGCAAGGTACTCTGGTACCAATACAAAGTTACTGAGCTTTTAAACTGAATGGATTTGGGACTAACTTAATGGCTAGTTTTAGGATAAATTTTGCTGAAATAGAATATCCAAAAAGATTTTTAAAATGAGTGGGAAGGGAGGGAGAGAAAAAGAGGTGTGTTTCTTAGTACTTAAACTTTGCATGAAATTTTGTGGCAGAGCAAGGGACTGGGGATGATTTTGGCCTCTGTTTTTAAATATGTCTAGACATCTAATTTTCAAGCAAATGTCAACTATCAGGCCACAGCACATACACCCTTTTTGAAACAAAATATTCAGAGCAAGGGTTAAGAAGCAATAACAGCAGAAGCGAAGGATGGAAAGGGGTATTTTACCAGGGGTAAAAAGTATGTGGAAAATGAATAAAGGAGGGTTTAAGAGCTTGATATTAGCGCATCCTAGTTCAGATACACCAGGGAATGAAAGTGGGGAAAGGGAAGGAAGGAAGGAATCTTTTGGTCAGAAACTTCATTGCTGAAAATGTCTTAAATAAAAATCTGAACATCCTGCTTCCAGAATTTTCTGTTTCTTTTAAAACAATTTTAACACTTCTAAACTACAACCAAAGGTTGTGGTAGGCTTGGCTGTCAGAACGATTTTTTTAAAGTTTTTTTTAGTTGTACATGGACATGATACCTTTATTTATTTCTATGTGGTGCTGAGGATGGAACTGAGTGCCCCACACGTGCAAGTCTTGTGCTCTACCACTGAGCTACAACCCCAGCCCCTGTCAAAATGATTTTCAAAGATAGCTTTGGAGTAGTGAACAAGGGGATTGGGGTGATGAAGATGGATTACGTTTTAGTCCACTTTGTGTTGCTGTAAGAGCATATCTGACACTGGATAATTTACAAAGTAAAGAAATATACTCCTCACAGCTCTGGAGCTGGGAAGACCAAGAATGAGGGGACAGATCTGGGAAGAGCCTTCTTGCTGCATCATAACATGGCAGAGGACATCATATGACAAGATGAAGCGTACAGGACAACCTAATTTCATGGCAAAGCTACCCCTGGACTAACTAGCCCATTCCCTCAATAATGACATTAATGTATCCATGAGAATGGATTATTTCTGACACCTCTAAAGTTCATACCTCCCAGTTCCCCAGCAGACTGGCAACTGAGTTTCAACATGAGCTTTGGAGAGACATTCAAATCACAGCAGACTGAAATGCACCAGGAGGCAAAACTAAGACCCATCCGCACTTCAATCTCTGAAAGGCATCGGCTGCCAGAACTTCTGTCAACCAGCAGTAATACAATTTAAACAGCACATACTTTATCAGCCAAGGCTCAGTGAAGGTAATGAAATGCACACTATAATGTTAAGAAAAAATAAGGATTTGATAGAAGTTATTTTAAAACATTGCTGGAGGGCTGAAGGCAATTGGGTTCCAGGACAGAACAATGGAAGGCTGATCCACCAAGATCCTTACCCCACAGTCTGCTGCTGCTGTGACTGCTGCTGGTCACCCAGGAATCCAGGTAACAAGCCTTGGAACATGCAGCAAGACAAGCTCACTTTTTCTAGACCTTGCCAGAAAGAACTGAAATACCGATGGGGAGTGGGGCAGAAAAATGGTCTCCACCTCATTTCTGTCTTCTGGATGTTGTGTTAAGTGCAGCTAATGGACAGAAGGTAGTTACTACCCAAGCTTAGTTGCAGGGGCATCTTATAAATATAGTTGCTCTTTTAAAAAATAGCAACTATATTTATAAGATTTAATTTAACTTAATTTAATTTTAATTTAATTTAATTTCTGGCTACTTTAGGTATAAGAAAGATTGAAAGGGAGAGTTATCCCATAATACCCACTACGGATCCAATATCCAGGAACAGAAAAATATCTGCCAATACTTGTATAGTTATTTTGCATTTCAATTACTGGACCATTTAGTAAATATAGTTGCCCTTTTAATTTTTTTAAAAGGGCGACTATATTTATAAGATGCCCCTGCAATTAAGACTTGGGTAGTAACTACCTTCTGTCCATTAGTTTATATAAAATGTAAACATATATCTGAATTATTTATATAAGTAATTAATATTCAGAGAAGTAAAGGTACATTTTACTGATAGTTTAGATTTCAATCTTGATCTTGCAACTCATTAAAAATGTGGTCTTGGGGCTAGGGTTGTGGCTCAGTGGTAGAGTGCTTGCCTTGTGTAGGTGAGGCACTGGGGTTCGATCCTCAACACCACATAAAAATAAATAAACAAAATGAAGATATTGTGCCCATCTACATCTAAAAAAATATATTTTAAAAAAGAATATGGTCTTTTCTATCAGTTATGTAACTTGTGTAAATCTTAGTTTTCTCATCCTTAAAATGAGAATTATAAGAGTAACATCTCATAGACTCAGTGACAAGAATGGATGAGAAAATAGATGTAAAGTGCTTATGTAATGTGATTAATTATTTCTGTTTTGTTGCTGAGGTCATTTGTGTTGCTTGTTGGACTCAGGCACTTCACCACCACGGCTTAAGTCTGAATCTGGTTATGGAATTTACTAAAAATATCACTATGAGAAATTTACCTAAAATTTCTATGCCTCAGTTTTCTTATATGAAAACTTGAGGTTATAATGCTGTTATATTGGAATGTGATTAAGAAATGAATAAAATAATTCATACAAAATTTTAATAGTCTCTAGCACAACATAAAATCCAAGATATTTTTAAAAACATTTTAAATTTAGCTGGGTACAGTGGTGCACACCTGTAATCCCAGCAACTTGGAAAGCTGAGATGGGAGGATCACAAGTTCAAGGCCATCCTCTGCAACTTAGCTGGACTCTGTCTCTAAATAAAAAATGAAAAGATCTGGGCATATAGCTCAGTGGTAGAGCATCCCTGTGTTCAATCTGTGTACTGCCAGAAACCAAGTTAAAGTTAGTTACTGAATTTACTTTACCAATATCAGTCTAGTCAACTTTTTATTTTTTCTTGGAAATTTTAAGAACAAAAATATAGTTTTTGCATCCTTTTGAGAATCATCTCTTGCTGTTTATTATATTTTTTAGACACAGATTACATTATAAATTATCTCAGGCTAATCCCAGCAGCTTGGAAAGATGAGGCAGGAGAATGTCGAGTTCATAACTCAGCCTCAGCAAAAGTGAGGCACTAAGCAACTCAGTGAGACCCTGCTCACATTTGTGATGATACCAATGTAAACGAACCTATTTTACTTCCAGGCACATAAAAGTATAGCACAATTATGTACAATATGGTTTAAATATTTACTGTACTATACTTTGATTATTATTTTAGAGTGAACTACTATTTTAAAAACCAGCTCTAAAACACTATTTCTGTTATACCAACAGCAGCTTCATATATCTTTTTATTTTATTTTTACTTTTGCACAGAAATTATTCCAAGTAGACATTTACTATTTTCTATTTCAAACATTATTTCCCTGTGTTATTTGTATTTTGTGAATTTGTATTTTCACTAATTAGGATGACTTTTGAAATTTTTTATTTATATATAACAGCAGAATGCATTACAATTCTTATTACATGTATAGAGATCAATTTTTCCTATCTCTGATTGTATACATAGTATACTCACACCAATTCGTGTGTCTTCATACATACACTTTGGATAATAATGATCCTCACATTAAAAATATGGAACGCTTCATGAATTTGCATGTCATTCTTGCGCAAGAGCCATGCTAATCTTCTTTATATTGTTCCAATTTTAGTATACATGCTGCCGAAGTGAGCACGTATGTATCTTGTATTTATGGAATCTCTTAATTGAATCAAAAGGCCACGTGGTATGATTGACCTGAGCCATATAGGTTTGTGTAAGAAAAAGGAGAATAAGGAAGTATGACAATGGAACACTTCTTGATATTTGGATATAAGAGTGAAAGGTTTTTAGCCGATGCTATGAGTAGTAAAAATTAGAGGATAGTGACAAAGAACTCATTGGCTTGGTGTTGGGGATCATTGAGGAGCAGAAGAATAAATGGAGAGTATAGTTTTAAAAGGAGTTTCAAGGGGGTATGTAAAAAATATTGACTGGTTGAATGAAAATATTTCTACAGATTATTTTTAAAGAATTTTTAAGAAGCTACATCCTTGACATTTTCTTATGTGTAAAAACTGGAATTCTCGATCACTACCTTAGAGAAGTATAAAATTATAATCATGTATTATTAGCATATATTATGCCAGAAATGGGGTCACATGGATCCCCGACTTATATTTGGGTTATCTTGTGGGACCTATAGCCCAGAATTTTAAAACAAACTTACTGTACTCAACATTAAAATTGCTCTGTACTTGAGCTAAGAGTACATTTCATTTTTGTTGTTGGTTTTGGTTGGTTAGTTTTGTAGGCTAGAATGGTATAATATAGGCATCAGCAAGACTAAACTTTATGACTCTTGGGATAATGTCACAATGCCAAGCAGTATGCTGATAATTTTGAAGTCAAAATTTAAAATTTTATTCCAAGTGCCCTGATCAAGATAAGATATGCCAGAAAGAGAAGAAAATCTATTCAACATCACAGAAATTCATTAATTGAAGAAATTTGAAGTAAATTTCTTCATTACATTTCCAACCAACGGTAAGTTTTAACCAAGACCACAAACAACTCATTTTTGAGGGATTTAAAATTCTTCCTTCAGATAACATCCAAATAAGATAAACTTGGACCTCTGAGAATGAGAGAATGTCTCCACCACTGCTGGACTTAACAGTTTGTACAAGTTTTGGTGGTGGTATTTTCAATTATTCATTCAGACTAATTACAAAAATTTTCTTAAAGCTTGAGAAATTAATGAAAATTATCAAATAGAGAAAAGTGACTTGGTCATGGGACATGCCACTAAATTAGGTCTAGGGATGGCCATCCCTGGGAGCCGAGAAATACTAAATGTGAATCTAAAAGACTTGAAAATGGGGTTTTTCATGCACTCAGCTCCACAGAAATGTTTTTGAGATAGACTTATTTACTGAGAAATTATTGCCTGAACTTATATGACAGAACAAATAATCATGACCATTTTAATTAAATGAGTTTAAGTTTAGAGTAACAGGGCACAATGGCCCATACCCATAATCCCAGCAGGTAGATTGCAAGTTCAAAGGTAGCTTCAGCAATTTAGCAAGGCCCTAAGCCACTTAGCAAGACCCTGTCTCAAAATAAGATATTTTTAAAGGTTTGAGGATGTGTCTGAGTTGTTAAGCATCCAATCCCTGGTACCAAAAATCAATTAATTAGTTTATTAATTTTCAAAGTATGTAAATAAATACAGATGTGTTTTCTAACTGGACCTACTTATGTTAATTTTGTCTATTTGTTTGGATTACTAGGATTTATATCAACTCAGAGAAATTTACTTTTGTCTTTCACATAGACTCTGAAGTCTTCAACTTGTATTAGCCTGTACTTTTCTACCAACCACTTAATGCCTCAAAAGAAGAAATATGATGAGAAAGAATTTCAGATTAAAAACCTGAGATTGCTCTTATATTTTTATCTCTTGTGTCCTTGCTTCAAAACTTCACTTTGTAGCCACCACACAGAGAATGAGATCTAGGTAATGGGAACAACGCAAGCTACTTTTATATAAACTTGGCTGGAGAGCTCTTATTGAGAGTAGATTTCTTCTAATGGGACCTGAACAATCCAAAGAAGGTCTCTTCCAAGATGAAAATGGTTAAACATTCTTTATATTAATGGTCATAGGTAAATGTAAGAAAAGGTAAAATGTAAACTCAGTTATATATTAAAGGGTATCATAAAGCCCAAACACATACTATTCTAGGAATATAAGAATGCTGCCATGTTAAGAATTCTGTTCTCATACTTCATTATAATAATACATCAAAGACAACAAGTATATATTATTAATTATTATAAAAACTATTGATAAAATTCAATACCCAGTTTAAATAATTAGATAGATGATAGAGAGATAGATAGATAAAGAGATGAATAAAATTTCTGAAAATCAAGCTAGAGAATCAATTATTTACTATAGGAGCAATAAATATACTCTTAAGAAAGAATATGATGGGCTGGGGATGTAGCTCAGTTGATAGAGTGTTTGCCTCACATGCACAAGGCCCTAAGTTCAATCCCCAACACAAAAAGAAAAAGAAAGAATATGAAATAAAAGATAAGTGACTTTGATTTTTTAAATTTTCAAAAATTTTCTATGGAAAAATATCATAAATAAATCTAAAAAATTGATGGGAAGGGGAATTGCATGCTAGAAGACGGAGGTTTAATACAATGAACTATTTAAAATGAAAACAAGGAGATAATCTAAGAGCAAAATAGGCCAAAGATGCAGAGAAACGATTCATAAAACCAAATCTACTGCTATCCATCTTAAACTGAGATGCTCCAGGTCACTACCTGTGGAAATACAATGGGATCAACCCTTTTCATATTGGCACAAATTAAACCAGGCAAGATAAAATAATAACTGCTGTTGCTGGCTTGTCACACTATTAGTAGCAATATGAATTTCATAGAATTTTAGAAAGCAACTTAGCAATATGTATGAAATAAATATACATATTTATTTTTAGTTTCATGCATATATACTTTTGACTGCACTTCCACCTTGGGAATCTATCCCATGGAAATAAAAGCACTGCTAAATGAACAAAAAAGCTTATTTTAGCATTATTAGTAGTTTGAAAATGGGAACTAAGTAATTGTTAATAAGAGATTATTATCTATTCATCTCACAGAATATTATGTAGCACTTAAAATAATGAATTATATCTATATTTGTTGGTTTAGAGGGATTTCCATGAATAATTCTGAAGTGAAAGAAGCAAAATGTGAATATGTCATTTCTGTTAAAATACAAGCATTGTCAATATTATTTACTGAATATTCAGTTATCTGTAAGACACTGTCCTTGGGATTAGTACAGTGAGAGAAATAAATGAATTACTGGTGGTTTGAAGGTATAACACTTGCATAATTAAAGACAGACAACAATTTAATGTAGAATAAGAAAGTCTCTCCTGATATTTGGCTTTGAAAATTCCAAGTGATAAAGAGAACATGAGCCCATGCTCTGGATAGATGTTAAGAAAGTCCACCTTTAAAGACATTTATTTTTTTATTTTTGTTTCCTTTTGGAAAGGTGCCTTGTATATTTATGATGTGAACTTAAGTAAAATAGTTCTAATAAAAATTTATCCATCTTAAAAAAAAAAACGAGTGGCTTAGGTGCTGCTTGGTTTCCAATAAGTTATAACAGTTTTGAAATCCATGTGGGTCAATATTTCCTACTGCTTAGTGAAACTTGTCACTCATAATAGTCTTAGTTTCTCATAATGATGATGCTAGCAATAGGTACTAATAGAAAGAGAAATTGAGTTAACATAAGTACAGCACTCAATACAGTGCCTGACACCGAATCAAGTGTATTGAATGCCAGTTGTTATTCTGTCATTTCTATCTTGGAACAATTTAAATTTACAGATGACTGTGAACCTAGTACAGAATTCCCTCTCTCAGTTCTCCTACTGATACCTTATATAATTGTGGTACTTGGGGTATATTATTATAAAAACTAAGGAACCAATATTTCCACATTGTGATTGAGCAAACTCTAGACTTTATTTGGATGCTACTAATCCTTCCACTCATGTCTTTTTTTGCCCTTCAGGATGCGATCTCAAATACCACTTTGTGTTCTCTTGGCTTGAGTTCTTGGGCTCCTAGTGTTCTGGCAGTTTCTTAGTATTTCCTTATTGATTCATGATCTTGACAGTTTTGAGAATTATTGGACAAGTATTTTGCTGAATGTTCTCAACATGGGTTTGTTACGTGTTTTTCTCATGGTTAAAATGGGGTTGCACAATTTTTGAAAGAACATCGAGAAGCTAAGTGCCCTTTTCAGTACATCATCTCTACAGAAACTTGCTGTCAGTATGACTTATGACTGATGATATTAACCTTGATCACCTGACCAAGGTAGTATTTGTCAGGTTTCTCTACTATAAATTCACACATGCCCTTTCTATGAGTTGTTTTTGGGAAGCATGAAACTAAGTCTATCCCATATCCAAAGGACAGAAAGGGGACAAAATTAAACTTTTCTTTCTAGATATGGAAGCATCTGCATATATTATTAAGAATTATTATTTAATAAAGACTTTTTCCTCTCCTATTTATCCAATCAAGTATTTACTAACATATGTTTATTTTATAATTTGAGTTATATTCTAATGCTACATTATTTTGCTATTAATATTCTTCAATTTTAGATAACGTTAGACATTGAGAGCTTTTCCAGGTTGGCTCCTCAGTCCCTTTGACATGTCCCAATCTTTTTGGTCTTTTGAGTACTTCCTTACTTTCTGTCACTACACAGTTCTATAGGAGCTTCTTGTATTAGCTCTGGCCAAACCCTAGAATCGTCCATTTCTTCAGTAGTACTGGCTGCTTCTATTGGAAAGTGATATTTGGAAAACAAGATCGGTTCACTGGAGGAGCTCATTGCTACCGACGGTGTCACTCATTCCTGGCACTGTTCCTCTATAACACAAACAATGCCCATGCTTATATACACACATACACTTACCCATCTGTGATTGTATATCCATCTGCATTTTGTCTTTAACCTCCAGTTTCTAACCAGAACTCATTTTCTGAAGTTACTTGGGTCAGCTTCTTTCTTTTCTTCCATGCCTTTTATTGTGTTGCAGTCACTTAGGATGAAACGTTCATACCAAGGTATGT